TGGGCAATTTATTGCTTGCTGTGATTTCAACAGAGACAAGTGGATGTGGAAGAGATGTAGACAAAGAGGATGAAACTAAGGGAAAATTGACTAAGAAGCCACAGGCAAGAAGGAAAACGCATTAAGCAGTTAATTTAAATGTAGAAATATTCATGTATTGGGGCTCCTGGGTGGCTCAGTGGGTTAAGTGTCTGACTTCAGCTCAGGTCACAATCTCACAGTTCACGAGTTTGAACCCTGCGTCAGGCTCTTTGAGGACAGCTCAGAGCCTGGAGCCTGCTTTGGATTCTGTGTCTCCCTCCCTCTCTGTTCCTGCCCCACTTGCTCTCTCTCTCTCTCACTCTCTCTCTCTCGAAAATAAATACACATTACAAAATTTAAAAAAAGAAATATTCATGTATTTACTCATTCACTTATTCACTCAACAAATATTTATCAAACCACTGCACTCAAACTGAGCATTTTATCAGGTAAAGACCACAGGTCAGTAAAGGGGAGAGTGGGGTCTTGGGGCATAAGAAGAGAAAGTAGAAGGCTCAAAGGTGACCCGCTTCAGCATTTAAATTCAAATTATTGAAAATACAGAGATTAGAGACCCAAGACTGGAGATTCCTGAGATGTGGCTAATTTGCACTTGAATATAGGAATTGGAATTAGGTAATACATGTGAAAATCAGTTATAACCATACATATTGCTATACAAATGCTTAGATTGCTACATATTCATGTAAAAGTAGAGTGATGTGTGAAGTGTGAGGGAAGACTGGTCCCAAGACAGGTTACTTACTAAAGGGTTAATCCATTCCTTGTCAGGCAGTTTAGAAACATGATTTTATAGAGACAAGAGTTGCCAATACATGTTGTCAGAAAAGGAAGAAGCTTCAGGTACGACTTTTGTTTCCTTAATTATTTATCATTAAAGTCTTCCATTGGGGGTAACAAGTAATAGACCCTGATTCTTCTCAGAAAATCTCATTTGCCCACAAAAGAGTTCAACCAGGGGATTTAGGCTGCTAACCATTTACCATTCTTGTTTTTCTTTTTTCTTTTATAGTGTTTGGCTTTCTGATTTGAACTGTTGGAGAGTACTCCGTTTTGTTTCTTTTGTATTGTTGTTTTACTTTTGTTTTGTTTTAGTTTGCTTCATTTAACTTCTTTTCTTTGTGGGGAGACAATGTATAGACTTGATTAATGTAACTGATGATACATGACTAGCTATCTCTATAAGCTCCTCCTCTTCTCCAGGAGACTTGAGATAGAAATGTATCAAGGAGGAGAGATTCTAAGTGATGAAGGAATAGAGCTAGGCCAGTCTCTGTCATCTTGGGCTACCAAAACAAAGTAAGAGAGAGTGGGTGGCTTAAACAATAGAAATTTATTTTTTTTATAGTTCTGGAGGCTTGAAGCCCAAGGTCAAGGTGCCATCTTGGTTGGTTTGTGGTAAGAGCTCTCTTTCTGGCTTGTAAACAGCTGCCTTCTCCTTTGTGTCTTTTCTTATAAGAACTCTAATCCCATCATGGGAACCCCACCCTCATGACTTCATCTAAACCTAATCATCTCCCCAAAGCCCAAATTCCAAATACTATCACATTGGGGTTAAGGCTTCAATGTAAGAATTGTGTACGTGTGTGTGTGTGGGGGGGCGTACGTAATTCAGTTTATAACAGACAGTGAACCCCCCCCCCACCCACCCAAAGGCCAACTCTTCTGATGTTGTTGCTGGGGCTGTTGGTCCAGGGTGCTTATTAAGTAGGGGCCACATGGACTGTGAAGTCTACCACAGAGATGCTAGAGCCAAATTCATCATTATAATAGAAAATAAGCTTGTAACATTGTTGTGAGGGCAATAGCAGACCCAACATCAGAGGTGAAAGGGTAGGCACTACTGTAAAACCTCATTGTCACCTGGGATACCCCTCTGATGCTTACTTTAGCACTTTTTAAGTGTTGTCATATTTTGCAACTTTCTCCAAAGGTCAGGTCAGATCCATGACAGATAGGGAACAGGAACTTAAGAGACCATGCCAGTAAGTTTCCTGTTAAACTCAGGGAGGCCCTTCCCACAGCCTTGACAATGCCAGTGGGTGTAAGGGTGGTGTTCTGGGCAGCACCCCAGCCATCATGCCAGTCTTCCAAAGGAGCTATCTAAAATTTTCTACATGGCAGTAATAGCATAAACATGGTAATCAACCTTCCACAATGCCAATGTTATCATAATAACCTGGGCCAGGGAGGCCAAGAGGTGGTTCAGGGGACATTGCTGACAATCTTGAGGGAGTGGTCATACCTCTAATGCTTTACTGCCAGCACTAGCATCAGCAGAAGGGGCAGAGATGATAGCCCTTTGGAGTCTACCCTTTAAGTGAGACCCAGATTTCTGTTAGGTAGTAAAGACACTAGTGGACTCCAAAGCACATTTAGCACAAGCATCATCCCCCTTTGATGTTACAAGACAGAGGCATACTTCCCATCGATCACAAGCTTCCCAGTCTCAGTTTAGACAGTGCCATTGAATTTGCATGCATACAACAGATCGTGTAGTTGAGGTCAAAGATGGTAACAATGTTGCTTTGCCAATGCTCAAGGCAGCTCTTTCTGGTGATCAGGCATGCAATATGGCCACATCTGTTTATTCTGACCTTCATCGCCATGTCTTAGGGATGCAGCTGGCACTTCATAAAAAGGCATAGCTGATTGTTGAGCGAGAATTCGTTTTTTTCTTAAGGAGGCAAGATGGCAACATGATTCCATGTACCTCTCCTTTCTCACATTCTTGATGAGATAACCAGAGAGGAAATCCTCTGTATTAGCACTGAAACCCAGGGGTTTATGCCAACACATGCTAGACATCTGAAGGAATTTCTCAGATTTATCGTGCAAGTGGAGTTCTAGGGGACTGACATGGGACCCTCGGAGCAAATGTAGTGGAGTTCACTGGGGAAAGAAGTTCCAAGAGCCAGAGCAAGCAGCCCCTTGTGGCTCACAGGAAAAGTGTTTTTTGCTTATCCACTTGAGGCCACTGAAAGGTTTTAACCAAAAAAAGTGAGAAGTTGGATTTCTATTTTTAACAGATTAAGAGTCTGATTAAAAATTGAACTAGGTTGGGGCGCCTGGGTGGCTCAGTCGGTTAAGCGTCCGACTTCAGCCAGGTCACGATCTCGCGGTCCGTGAGTTCAAGCCCCGCGTCGGGCTCTGGGCTGATGGCTCAGAGCCTGGAGCCTGTTTCTGATTCTGTGTCTCCCTCTCTCTCTGACCCTCCCCCGTTCATGCTCTGTCTCTCTCTGTCCCAAAAATAAATAAACGTTGAAAAAAAAAAATTGAACTAGGGGGGCGCCTGGGTGGCTCAGTCGGTTAAGCGGCCGACTTCGGCTCAGGTCATGATCTTGCAGTCCGTGAGTTCGAGCCCCACGTTGGGCTCTGTGCTGATGGCTCAGAGCCTGGAGCCTGTTTCAGATTCTGTGTCTCTCTCTCTCTGACCCTCCCCCGTTCATGCTCTGTCTCTCTCTGTCTCAAAAATAAATAAACATTAAAAAAAAAAATTGAACTAGGATGGTGGCTATAGAAATGGAATAAAGAGATAGATTTTCCAAATACATTAAAGGTACAATTACAGGATTTGGTGTTGGACTGGATGTTAAAAGTAGCTGTCTCTAGGTGGTGGAACTGAAGGATAATTTTTAGTCACCTATTTTTTTTCTTTCAGACATTTCATAATTTTGTACGGTGAACATTGATTGTACCAGTAACTTTTTAAAAACTTAAAACCAAAAAAAAAAAAAAATCTTCCTGAATACACCAAGAAGGGATAACTAGATTATGTACTAGGTAGATCCTGGAGAAGCAACTTCAAAATAAGAAAAATCCTCAAAAGATGAGCAAAACAGATGAAACAGAAGCAAGACTCCTGGCATGTACTGGTGTAGGACTTTCAGTGTCTGTGTGTTTGGCCGGGGCGGTGGTTGTCAGACTTTTTTTTTCAGTATTGGGATTCTTTCCTCTAATAAAATCTACACAGAGAGCTTGCATGTAGCAGAGATCACAGGAGCAAGCCTCTGGTTGAAGGAGGAGGAGGTTGAATTTACGCCTGAGGTCACCCTCCTCTATCTCTCCCTTTCCTCGGGAACAAAGGCTGAGGCACTGAGAGAGAGAGAGAGCGAGCAACTATGGTTTGGCTTTTTCTTTTCATTTCCTTGGCTTTAGGGATTTAAGCAGAGGCAGTTCTGTTTGATGCAAGCGATATGTGGGTGACAGACAAAGCTGAGCAGAAGCCTGCTTTCAACCTGTAGCCAATCACAGCCATTGTTGTGCACTGGCTAGAATAAATGTATTTGAAGGCAGTGCAGCACTGATTGGAAAGACTCCTTAAATGGGAAAACAAGAAAAAGAAGCCTTTTATCTTTCAAAGAAAGAAAAGACAAATGGGAGATGAGAACATGACTTGCAAGAAAAATGTCTGCCCCAGGTTGGGCTTAAACTATGTTTCTTTAATCTTCTGCTTGAAGCCTCACCATTGCTAAGGACATCCAGGCAAGTCACAGTGCTGAGAGAGGAGGGCCAGGGCAGAGAAGGTGAATGGGCCAGGCCATGCACCCCATGGGGAGTCACTACCCATCTGTCACCATTCAGACAATGAAGGGACATAATTGTTCCCACCAAATGGAGTTTGCAGTGAACTCTGAGAGCTTATGAATGAATGAAGGTTGGAGAACCATACGTTTTAGACCGATGTATCAGGGAAAAGAGGAAGAACCGTTCATAGGAGAACAGGTTGGGAATGCACTATTTCTCCACCACTCACTCCTCTCCCTCTCCATCCCCAGCATTTCTATGGTGGCTGTCCTGCTCTCCATGACTACACTCCTGTAGTCATCTAGAGATGATGCACCGGCTGGCTGAGCACAGACCCAAGCCGGACCAATCCTAACTCCTTATCCCCATTCTAAGCTGATTTCTCCGGGGATGGCAGTCTAACCTATGCTGAGCCTCTGAATGTCTTGCAGGGGGTTCTGGAATTGAAGCCAAGAACATCAGTTAATCTTTTTCATCAGTTAATCTTTGGCTTACTAGGCAGCCAAAGAGGTAAGCATTAAGACTATCGCATTCTTCAGTAGATGGATAAACAAACTCTGGTACATCTATGCAATGGAATACTGTTCAACTATAAAAAGGAAGAAACTACTGATAAACATATCCACTTGAGTTAATCTCAAAGACACCATGTTGATCGAAGGAAGCCAGGTCCAAGAAGTTGCATAGTGTATGATTCCATTTATACGACATTCTCAAAAAGAAAAACTCCAGTGATGGGGAGCACAGGAGAGGTTGCCAGGGTTATTATAGGTGGAGGGAGGGGATGACTACAAAGCAGTAGCATGAGGCAGTTTTGAGGGCCACGAAAATGTTTGCATCCTGGTTGTGCTGGTAGTTACACAAATTTATACCTGTGTTAAAATTCACAAAATTCATAAATGTTTTTCAAAAGAAAAAAGTCAATTTGACTATATGGTATTTTTTTGAGAGAGAGAGAGAGAGAGAGAATATGTGAGTGAACAGGAGAGGAGCAGGTGTAGAGACAGAGAGAGAATCTTAAGCAGGCTCCATGCTCAGCACAGAGTCTGATGTGGGCTCAACCCCCCAGACCCTGGGATCAATGACCTGAGTTGAAATCAAGAGTCGGATGTCCCACCAACTGAGCCACCCAGGTGCCCCGACTATATGGTACTTTTTAAAATAAAATTTTTAACCATTAAAAAGAAAAACTTTCTCATTTGCAAGGAGAGGTGGTTGATCTACAAAAGGTAGGAAGTAGAAAAACTTAAAACTGCTCAGAGACAAAAAAGTATAAGAGAGAAACCAGAGTCCCTTTGGGTCCGGTTCTAGCAATTGTGTTCTTATTCTTGGCTTCCCTGAGACACACTTATATTCTCATCATAAATTCCCCTTTTATACTTAAGCTAATTGAGCTCAGATGTTTCATCAGCAATCCAGAATCCTAACTAATTTAGTAAGAATCACTGGTTCACTGTTGCATTTGTTGTTCTGGAGCTGGAGGGTAGCTTCCCTCCCTACAAGCCTAACAGTAAATGGAGGCCTACTTTATAGACAACGTCACCTCAGCAGTTATAGGTTTTACTACACTGATAATAAACCGCACATTCCAAATCGCTGACTCATTAAGCCCTTGCTCCAAATCCTCTCTCCCTAAGGTTGCCACATAATGCTGTGAGTGCTCATTAAATCTCAGAGATTTTTAAGTGACATTTACTGTTATACACAGTTCAGCTGACCTTATGGGGGTAGTTTCCACAAAGCATGCCAGGAAAAGCCCCATGTTACCAGCCTGCTGGTAGAGTTTCCTTCCAGTGTGAGGAAAACCCAGTGTACATAGAGACCAGCTGATCTTCTTTTCTAATCCCCAGAAGTGACAGATAATCTGGGGTATCCAGCCAGCTTATTTCGTTCCTCATGGAGATCTATTCTATCCTGCCTGTACTTCCACTAGAGCCAGATGCGGTGAACATATCCCTTATTCTGAACTGTAGTTTTCCCCAAGAGTATGCAGGATAAAAGGAAACTCTGCTAGGAACATTCATTTGCATGTTTATTAAATAATTGATACACCAACTATTAATACATTTTTGTTTTCTTCAGTGCAGCCAGCACTTTGCTAGGTAACCGAGACGAGTGAAACAGTGGCCAAGGAGTCCATGGTCTTATGAGGAAATGGACTTTCTGATAATATCTGCACCCTGGAGGCAGACCAGTACTCCAGAGTGACACCCAGGAAGGAGGGAGGAACAGAGGTGCCATAGGATAGCTGCTGGGAGAAAGTGATACATGGGTTTTAAAGGATGAGTAGGGGTTTGCCATGCTTCCAGGTGGAGAAGGGCCCTCTAGATGGAGGGGACACACACTGGGCAAGGGACGTGAAACCATGCAGTGGAGTTGGCCAACTCAAGGAGTCTGGAACTTGCAGAGGTGAGGGAGAGATAGGAGCCCCAGCAGGAGGTGGCACTTCATCCTGCAGGGAGTGTGTGGCTATGTGGGGTTTCACAGAGACAGATGACGTGAATGTTTTTGCACTTTTAGAAAATATCACTTTGGCAGCAGTGGGGGTGACTAATGAAAGATGGACTGAATCCAGTGGGAAGAAGGTAAACTAGGAGGAGCCTGAGGCTGTAATCCAGGTGAAAGAATCAAGTGGGGAGAAAGTTGAGAGGATACATTTGGTAGGAAGGTTTCTTTTTTTTAAAGCTTGTTTGTTTGTTTGTTTGTTTGTTTAGAGCATGAGTGGGGGAGGGGCAGAGAGAAAGGGAGAGAGAGAATCCCAAGTAGGCTCTGTGCCTTCAGTGCTAGAGCCTGACTTGGGGCTCAATCTCACAAACCGTGAGATCATGACCTGAACTGAAACCAAAGGTCAGATGCTTAACCAACTGAGCCACCCAGGTGCCCCTGGGAGGATACATTTGGAAGACAGAATTGATAATGGGTGGTGACCAGTAGGGTATGGTGTTTAAAGAAGAGAGACCAGGATGCCACTTACATTTATGATTTGGGATCACAGGCGGATGGGGACGACAGTGCCAAAGAACAGGAGGGAAGACAGGAGGAGGAACAAAGTTGGTAAGGCCAGGTGGAGATGAGAAATGCTGAATTCAGAAGGGAAACTGTTTTTCTCCTCCATCGAGACAAAATAAATAAATCAGTAGGGAGGTCTGTCATTGGAATAGGAATTTTATTTTATTCACATAGCAATGCTCTGCACATCTTTTTTTTAATGTCTTTTATTCATGTAGAAGAAACAAAGAAAGAGGAGCTCAGACAGCCAGAATAAGGAACCCAGGGAAATTTTAGCAGACTGGGAAATAAAGCTTTCTTGTCTGAAACACTTCTGGTGAGCCAGTAAGTGAGAGAGACAAAGCCACTTTGATGATATGCAGTCCACCAGGTTGAACACAAACTGCTAAAAAAGGCCAATGATGGGAAGCTCAAAGGAGTGATTTTAAAATGCAGCAATCAAATCACTATCTGTGCATAAGATTAGGTATGGGAAAAGTTCAAAACATTTCGGAAACAGTAGGAAAGGCAAGTTCCTATTGACTATGAAATTTGTTCTTGGTGATCAAGAGTTAGTGTAACGTTAAGATCACTGTTTTAATACAGAATTCTATTTTTTTTATGTGAAAAATAAAAACCAACATTTAAAACCAACCTTAACCAACATTTAAAAAAAAAATTTTTTTAACATTAGTTTTTGAGAGAGAGAGAGACAGAGCATGAGCGAGGGAGAGGCAGAGAGAGAGGAGTCACAGATTCCAAAGTAGGCTCCAGACTCCAAGCTGTCAGTACAGAGTCCCACATGGAGCTCGAACTTACAGAGGCTCATGACCTGAGCTGAAGTCGGACGCTTAACTGGCTAAGCCACCTGGGCACCCCTTGGTTCCCTGTCCACCTGCTGATCCCCATGACAAGAAATGAGAGAACATTCCCTCATACAGCTTCAGTTATCATCACAATAGTGACGTGTCACAAATCTCCCACTTTAAGATCCCTTTATGAGACTTTTTACTGGATATATTCACCTCCCGCCACTCAACCTGCTCCCCCTCATGTGTCTCTTATCTCAGTGGGCCCAACACCGCAGCCCTCATCCCTGATTTCCTCTTAGACCACCTTCACTCATCAGTTCCTGAGGGACATGTGTGTGTATGAGAGAGAGAAGACTGATCTCTTTTTTTTTTTTCTTTTTCAACGTTTATTTATTTTTGGGACAGAGAGAGACAGAGCATGAACGGGGGAGGGGCAGATAGAGGGGGAGACACAGAATCGGAAACAGGCTCCAGGCTCTGAGCCATCAGCCCAGAGCCCGACGCGGGGCTCGAACTCCCGGACCGCGAGATCGTGACCTGGCTGAAGTCGGACGCTTAACCGACTGCGCCACCCAGGCGCCCCGAGAAGACTGATCTCTTAAGAACACTTCACATCTACATAGTTTTCTCTAACCATTCTGCCATTCTTCTACTCCAGGCTGCTGTCAGCTCTCTTCTGGATTATGACAACAAGCACCTAATTGATCCCTCTGCTTCAAGTCTGCTCCAGTTCAATCCTTCTACTTCCCATTCTAAAATGTAAGTGTGATCATGTGAATCCCTTGATGAGTTTCTTGATTAAAATTCTGTGGTTTCCCTTTGTTCTTAGGTTAAAGTCCAAAGTCCTCAACATGGTTACAAGGCCCTTTTGGGGTCTGTCCTCTAATTAAGGCTCCAGAGTGAGATATTACCACTTCACTTTCACACTCTAAACTCCAGCTAGAATAAACTTCATTTCCTTCTAGAGGCATATGAAGCTTGCTGTCTCCTCCTGGGCTTTGAGTAAGCTCTTCCTTCTGCTTGGTACACATCCTTGCCCATCCCACCCCATCCCCCAAAGAAGTATCTTCTCCTGGGTCACTTCCACTCATCTTATAATTATCCACACAGGCATTGTGTCCACACAACACCCTCAGGACTCCCATCCCATCTTCCTAAGAGTTCCTCAAATACCCTGCACCTTCCCTTCCATGCACTCCTCTTCCTGTGTTGTGATTATCTGTTTATGAGGGCCACAGCAATGTCTTTTTCACTGATCTACTCCCAGAACCTGATAAAGAGCACTTTCTTGGTAAAGGATGTTGAATGAGTGATTGAAGAAAAGTGTCCCCACAAGTGGCCGTGGTCTAACGATGGAATCTCCTTTTTTGGAGGATAATCTCCATCACCTTCTTTGGAAGTTTTACTTTCTTTACTGCTCTTAGTACTTTTGACTCTAGTACTTCATACTCTAGTACTGACACTCTATTCCCAAGGGCCTGCAAAGGCAACATATCCTGACATTTCTCCTCACCATCTACTCTTTTACTCACATAAAAATAATAGGTTTCAGCACCCTCCTTTGGTATATAATTAAGTCAGCCTTGAGCTGGAAATGACAAGTTTATTTTATAGCCCTATAATAAAGCTGTCTGCCATCACTTATGGAGGGCATAAGCTTCCATCTAATCCAGGGGATTGTATTTTCTGTGAGAGGAAATGAAACATTCTTGCATTCATTCATTTATTTGGTGTGAACTAAGCACCTTCTATGCGCAGAGTCACTGGTCCACAGTCAGATAAAAAATGGGTCTGTCATAAACAGTAGACTTACTTCTATGGGTTAGACAAAGCATATTGTGGAGAAGCTGAATAGCATTTTGCCAGACTAGGAACTCAATCCATATCATTCTGAGAATTTGTTATAAAGAGAACTAACCAGTTAGGGACAACTCCAGGAACAGAACAGCAGAGATGAGTTCTTTCTCATTGACCAAATCTTGGTCCATGCCCTCATCACTTGTCCATTCCATGATCTTACTAACTTGTTTCACAAGGTAGCCTAAACTAAGGGTTGGTTTTTTTTAATTAGTTGCCAAAATTCTTAAGTACAGATTAATTTGGGGGGGGGGGGCGGGAATCACTTGCACAAGGCAACCATGGGCTGGGAAAATTGTGGTTGTACTCTTTGAATGGGTCAATTTCTCTCCTGTCTCATTCAGCCATTTCAGTCACTTTCAGGTCTCCCTATACCCTGAAGGCTTTTAAGATCGTGACCCTTTGTCTCAGGATCAAATCTAAAGTCAGCATCACAGACTCATTCAACTTGTCCCCAGCTCACCTCTCCAGCATTATTACATCTGCATCCCAGTGTCCTAGTTTCTCTGAGTTAATAGAAAAGTCACAATAGATCTCAAATACTCCTTTCTCCCAATGCACGAACATGCTGCTCCATCTGCCCAGACAGCACCTGTTTATTAAGAATGAACAAAGAATTTGTGGGGGAGGGAGAAACCATGGAAAGCAGTTGTAGAAAGGCTACAGAATTTCTCCCCAAAGAAGGCATTAGAAACACTACCCTGCATTAGGAAGCCACAGAACTTAGCAACTCGCTGTGTTGGACCTGTGCATAGCCTGAATCTACAATAGAATTGTCTTTAGAATAAACTTCCCCACTTACAGGACTAAGTTAAAGGCACTGTGGTTTTGCCTGCTGGCTCTGCATCAGTTTTTCACATCACGGCAATGAAAGAGCCGACAACAGCCTGGTGTTGTTTCAGTCATTACGGTGACAGGTCACGGCAACACTCATTCGGCTGCTTTGTGCAAAGGATAAAGGAAAGAAGAGGCAGAGACTTGGGGACAATTCATCCTAGGTCAAACCAGGTTAAGATCAACTGCATTATAAAACTTTCATTTTTAACCAAAGACAAAAACTATTTTCTTTTTCAATATATAATGTGAAGATGAGTACTCCTCATTGTAAGTCTGGGCAGCAGCTGTGTGTCTGCCCAGTAGAGGGAGGTCTCTCACCAACTTACAAAGACAATATTCATTACATAGTAATGCTCAGATTTAAAGGGGGAAAAATGAGAATAAGAACTCATAAAATGGTTTGATATAAAATCATGCCAACTAGGGGTATTGGTGTTTTGAAGTCTACCTAAATATAACAGACGGAAAAGGGAAACATAGCCACACAGCAACTAATCTCCAAAGTTCTCTTTGGTTCAGGTTGCCTGGATTGCAGAAAAAATATTATTAACACATAGCCCAGGCTGAGGGTAGAATGGTTAGCAAAGAACTCGGAATCCACCCTAAGGAGTTCAAGCTAGGTAGATGTAGGGGATTTCTACATTCAGGGATGGTTGTGGCCAATTGCACTTTTACTCTAGAATGTATCTTGTGAATAAACATTTTGAGTAATGATGTCTTTGTTAGCACCCAGGATTTTGAACCCACACAACCTATATGTAGGTTCAAATCCAATATGGAGAAGAGGCCCGACAAAGGCAGGTTCTCTTCTACTCTAATCATATGACCACTTTAACACTGTGTCTTGATGAATTAAGCTGACTTCACAAAGTCCCAAACTAAGGTTTAGAACCAAAACAGCTTAGTGGCTTTCCTGGTCCTTTCTCCCAAAGGGCTTAATGCTAAATTCAGCCTTCTAGATCTTGCTTCTCTGATGGTGAATACAGGTAGGCCAAACAGAAGGTAAGCCCAAGAGAAAAAGCACACCCAGAACAGCAGAGATGTCGCTCCTTCCCCAAAGATGGGCAGGGCTTGTCTACATCATGAGGAGCTATAGAGACAGTGCTTGAGGCCTAATGGATTTTCAAGTGCTTATTGAAGTTGGGGGTATAGCTTAGGGGTAGAGCATTTGGCTGCAAGTGCTTATTTATTTTTTTTTAAGTGCTTGAAAATAAACTTAAAGTGGCATAGGCTATGAAATATGAAAAGAGGGATGCCAGGGTGGCTCAGTCGGTTAAGCGACCAGCTCTTGATTTCTGCTCAGGTCATGACCCCAGTTCAGGAGTTCCAGCCCCACATCGGACTCCTTGCTGACAGTGCAGTGCAGAGCCTGCTTAGGATTCTCTCTCTCCCTCTCGCTCTCCCTCTGTCTCTGTCCTCTCACTCTCTCAAAAATAAATAAACCTTAAAAATATGAAGAGAAAACTACAAAATAAAATAGTAATCTCAGCAAACACCTGCCTGGTACTTGTTATGCTCCCGGCTCTGTTCTGGGCACTTGTCTCACACTAACTCATGTGCTGTTCAGCATCCCTCTGGTACTACTTCCATCTCCATGCTACACCTGAAGGTCCTGAGGCCCATAGTAATCACTCTGCTAGTAGGTGGTAGGGTCAGGATTTGAACCCAAGAATTTGGTTCCTGTGTCCTCAATTCTGGATCTCTAAGTCAGGACACCTCTCTAAATATTACATCTTTAATTTTAATATCTACAAAATGTAACACCATGTCAACTAGAAAACTGCATTCCATCTTAATTTTTATAATTGTACATAAATTACATTTATTGAGAGATGTACAGTTGACTCTTGAACAACATAGGTCTGAATTGCACAGGTCCACTTATATGTAGATTTTATATAATACAGTACTATGAATGTATTTTCTCTTCTCTATGATTTTCTTAATAACATTTCCTTTCCTCTAGCTTACTTTATTGTAAGAATACAGGATATAATGTATATAACATACAAAATATGTGTTAATTGACTATATCATCAGTAAGGCTTCTGGTCAACAGTAAGCTATTAGTAGTTACATTGTGAGGGAGTCAAAAGTTGTATATGGATTTTATACTGTGTTGAGGAGTCAGAATCCATAATCCCTGCATTGGTCAAGGGTCAACTGAAGTACATTTTAATAAAGTTTGATGTGGTAGAGAAGAAGGGGCTAGAGCCTTCAGAGTTTTCAAGTGTCTCTGACCCCAGGCCATCATAACCCCAGCAGCCTCAGTGGAGCACAGGAGAAGAAGGTGACAGAGATTCACAGGAGAGAACTCACTGTTCACACTCAGGGACCCTGAACAAGTACCATCCTTTGCTCCGTGGCCCAATAACATCCTTGCCGATCAACCTACACTAAAAATTTGCAAACTATTTCAGATAGTAAATATTCCAGGCTCTAACAAGAATGGCAGAGACAATTTTGAAGAAGAAAAAACAGGATATTTACCTACAGGATCTCAAACCTGATTGTAAAGCTATGTTAATTAAGATTGTGGTAATGGTGTGTGGGGTAGACAAATAGATCAATGGGATAAAAGAGTAAAAGACATTCCTGATAAGTAACATAGATGGCCTTACAGAGCAGGGGGAGAAAAAATGGACCAGTTAATAAATGATACTAGGACAATCGGTTATCCCTGGGGGGAAAAATGAAGTTAGATTTCTAACTCATCTCAGAAATAAAAAATCAATTCCAACATGAGGAAAGCATGAATAAAGAATATTCATAAAGAATAAAAGTTTTAAGCTTTTTAAAAAATTTTTAAAATGTTTTATTTATTTATTGAGAGACAGAGCATGAGCGGGGAAGGGGCAGAGAGAGAGGGAGACACAATACAAAGCAGGCTCCAGGCTCCAAGCTGTCAGTACAGAGCTGGAAGTGGGGCTGGAACTCGTCAACCGCCAGATCATGACCCGAGCCAAAGTCAGACGCTTAACCGACTGAGCCACCCAGGCACCCTGAAAGTTTTCAACTTTTAAAAGAAAATACAAGAGAATATCTTTTTTGCTCTCGAGGTAGAG